CGTAGCTGCTTTGCGTACGCCTTGACCAAGGAAGCAGCTTCTTCATCCAGCAGTTTCCCGACCCATAGCTCCCTCAAGCTGAGTTGCAGGTAACCCAAACCTCACTTCGTCATCAAAACTGTAGGCTCCCTAGGCTCCCGCCTTGAAGCGTCACTGTCGTGGTAAGGTTGCTCGATGATTGGGGGCATCGTGCTTATTCAGCTCCATCAATTTGGCATCTGCAGCTAACACGCTGGCGTCAGGGTGGTGGGTGAAATAGTTTGTGGAAGTTGTTGGATGGGTCGGGGCTGATGGTAGCGGATAAAATCCTTGTGCATATTGCAGAAGAAGGAGCAAGAGGCAAGCGAGTGGTACTAACAGAGAGACCACTCCTTGTTGTATAAGAGCTTACATTACCGGTTACCACTCTTGGTAATGGGCAAGTAATTTGAGTTCGGAAAAGAGTGACAGAACTTTCCCGCCAACCTAATACAAGAAGTTTCCTTTGATAGCTTTGAGCGATATTAATGCACCCTTCCGCTAGTTATAGACTTTTTCAAAAAATTCCCTCCACGGGGGTGGCTCCATACTGGCGACATTGGAGAATGGCAACCGAATGGATCACTGAAAATCATTGACCAGAAAAATGCGCTGTTCAAACTCGCCCAAGGGGATTTTGTGTCACCGGAACAAACTGAGCTGTCTACCTCAATTCACCTCTCATTGAGCAGATAATGATCCTTATTTCCTACTTGTGGGTCTGCACCATAGAATGTATCAGGTTGTCCGGAAAGTTCTCAGCGTTTTGTGTTACTATTTTTTGTACATTCATTGCTGATTAAAACTCATTCTCCCTTGCGTCTCAGTAGTACATCCTAGAGAATTTTTTGCGCTATCTGATGGTATAATTGCCGTTTCACCATTGCTTGATAAACCCCTTTTCCCAAGACTTTTTGAAGCATGTCAAAAGAGCAACTTCGGACGATATTTTTCTTCAACTACAAATTGGGTCAATCCGCAGTCGAGACAAATTAACCAGGTGTGGGGCCCAATAGTGTTGGAGAAAGCACCCGCAGAAATTGGCACGTCTCGAGGTTTCTTCTTCACTGCTTTTGCGCAACAGAAACGACCCGTTTTGGACCGAATTGTCACCTGTGATGAAAAGTGGATCATGTATGATAACAGGAGACGTTCCGGACAGTGGTTGGATGCCGACGAACCACCGAGGCAATTTCCAAAGCCGAATCCTCACGAAAAAAAGATTATGGTCACAGTGTGGTGGTCATCGGCTGGTGTGATCCACTATAACTTTTTGTCACCAGGCCAAACCATCACAGCAGAGTCCTACTGTGAAGAAATCGACGAAATGTACCGAAAATTGCGTCAGCTGCAGCCAGCACTTGTCAACAGAAAGGGTCCGATTCTTTTGCATGACAACGCCCGCCCACACAATTCACACTATCCATAAATTGAACGAATTGGAGGGTTGAAGTTCTACCTCACCGCCATATTCTCCAGACCTTTCACCAACCGACTATCACCTTTTCAACATTTTCAGAACTTCCTTGCTGGAAAATACTTCATCAATCAGGACCAGGCAAAAAAGCCTTCGTGGATTTTGCCAGTTTTTTCTTTGATGGGATTTATCGACTGGTGTCACATTGGCAAAAGTGTGCTGATTCGAACGGTGCTTATTTCGATTAAATCCGATGAGTATTAAGAAAGTTATGATCGTTTAAAGTGAAACACTCAAAACGCTGAGAACTTTCCGGACAACCTAATAGCGCGAGACAAAGAAGGACTAGTTGTAAGAAGAACCTTTGGACGCAGTTCGGCCTGGTGGGAACACTTTGCTAGCTCTCATCGATCACTGCAGATGCCCCTGTGTAGACCTGTAAATTCCTGGGAAGCTAGGCGGTAGAGTGAGCACCGTTCCCACCTACAGGAGTCTGCAGCTTATAGCAATGCGAAACGTGTACTTCATGAGAAAAAGAAACTAGTGAAAGTGCAATATGCCCTTCCCAGGCCGGATAGAGCCTAGCTCTTATCTGACTGGACGCAACCTAAGAGGACCCCTGGGGACCCTGAGAATAAATGACTAACCACCTACAGATTTTCATCACTGGAATGACCACACGCTCGTTCCTCGTGGGCATTGCTGTCGTGAGCATGGCAATTTTACGGACAACTGTCGAAACTCCTGCTATGCTGTTTCCTTTCTTTTTTTTCCATTTCCTCCTGACAAACTCCTGCTATCCTGTTTCCATTTTCCTTGAAGGCACACTTCGCTCTGGTCCAAGGCGGGCGGGGGGCTGGGACTACTGCAATCATTGGCGCGCTCTTTCGCTCTAGAAAGTAGTTACTGCTCGATGGGAAGAGTGCTAATGTAGGCCTTCCTTCTCCCTTACTATTAGCGTGAAATGCTCCCTTGCTCTGAATTCTGAACTGTCATCTTATTTCCTCTTTTGTTAGCTTTTCTTTCCTTCCCACCATGGCAGGTTGTACACTTGAGCGAGGGGGTCGTATTCAGCCAGAGAAAAATTTCTCTGATAGTTGCTTTTCCTGAGCGGTCTCTACAATGTTGCGAGACTGCCACTGGAGTGGAAGAGGGGCAAGGCGGAAGAGGCAAACGCGTGCAATTGCTCATCTCTACGATATTCGAGAGGTAGAGGGGTTCCGTATTTGCCCTTCAGAAGACTTCTTCCGTGAAGGAGAAGAGGATCTTTGTTACTTTGCGTGGTCGCACTGAAGGAGGGCGAAACTCAGTGTGGGGGTCGTATTATGCTAATATCGTTCCCAGCGACGAGAAGCGCCGTTTTCTGCATCTACCTGCCTGCACTGGTTTGCCTCTGTTTTCTTCATTTAGTCACTGCTTCGCCCCCTCTTTCCTTTTATTCTTCCTTCCTTCCTTCCTTCCTTCCTTCCTTCCTTCCTTTCCTTCCTTCTTCTCTTCTTGTCTTCCTCCTCCTTCCTTTACCTTCCGTTCATTCCTTCCTTCCTTCCTTCACCTTCCTTTCCTCCTTCCACTTCCTTCCATTCCTTCCTATACTAATCCTTCATATCCTTCTTCTTACCTGTCCTCCTGTCCTTCCTTCCTTCCTTCCTTCCTTCCTCCTTCCTTCCTTCCTTCCTTCCTTCCTTCCTTCCTTCCTTCCTTCCTTCCTTCCTTCCTTCCTTCCTTCCTCCTTCCTGTCCTTCCATTCCTTGCCGTCCTTCCTTCTTCCTTCCCTTCCTTCCATTCCTTCCCTGTCCTTCCTTCCTCTGTCCTTACCTTTCCATCATTGCTTCTTCCGTTCCTTCCTTCCTTCCTTCCTTCCTTCCTTCCTTCCTTCCTTCCTTCCTTCCTTCCTTCCTTCCTTCCTTCCTTCCTTCCTTCCTTCCTTCCTTCCTTCATCTCTTCTCTTCCGTTCCTTCCCTTCTTCCATTCCTTACCTTCCTCTCCTTCCTCTTCCTTCCTTCCTCCTTCCTCCTCCTCTCTCTTTCTTCCTCCTTCCTTCCTTCCTTCCTTCCTTCCTTCCTTCCTTCCTTCCTTCCTTCCTTCCTTCCTTCCTTCCTTCCTTCCTTCCTTCCCTTCCTTCCTTCCTTCCTTCCTTCCATCCTTCCTTCCTTCCTTCCTTCCTTCCTTCCTTCCTTCCTTCCTTCCTTCCTTCCTTCCTTCCTTCCTTCCTTCCTTCCTTCCTTCCTTCCTTCCTTCCTTCCTTCCTTCCTTCCTTCCTTCCTTCCTTCCTCCCTTCCTTCCTTCTCTTCCTTGCCTTCCTTCCTTGCCTCTTCCTTCCTCCTACCTCATTCTCTTCCTTCCATTCCTTCCTTCCCTTCCTTGCCGTCCTTCCTGTCCTGTCCCTTACCTGATCCTCCTTCCTCTCCTTCCTCTCCTTCCTTTCCCTTCCTTCCTTCCTCCTTTTCCTGGTCCTTCCTTCCTTCCTTACCGTCCTCTCTTCCTCCTTCCTTCTTCTTTCCTTTCCTTCCTTTCCTTCCTTCCCTTCCTTCCTTCCATTCCCTCCTTCCTTCCTTTCCTTCCTTCCTTCCGTCCTTTCCGTCCTTTCCTTCCTTCCTTCCTTCCTTCCTTCCTTCCTTCCTTCCTTCCTTCCTTCCTTCCTTCCTTTCCTTTCCTTTCCTTTCCTTTCCTTTCCTTTCCTTTCCTTTCTTCCTTCCTTCTTTACCTTCCTTCCGCGTCTTTCCTTCCGTCTTCCTTCCTTCCCTTCGCTGCCTTCCTTTCCCTTCCTGTCTTCCTTCTCTTCCATTCCTCCTTACTTCCTCCCTGTCCTTCCTCCTTCCGTCCTTCCCTTCCTTCCTCTTCCTGTCCTTCCTTCCTTTCCTTCCTTCTTCCTTTCCGTCCTTCCCTTCCAGTTCCTTCCTTCCTTCCTTCCTTCCTTCCTTCCTTCCTTCCTTCCTTCCTTCCTTCCTTTCCTTCCTTCCTCTTCCTTCCTTCCTTCCTTTCCTTCCTTCCTTTGCCCTTCTCTTCCCGCTTCCTCTTCGCCTTCCTCCTGTCCCTTTTCCTTTCCTTCCTTCCTTCCTTCCTTTCCCCTTCCGTCCTCCCCTCCTCGTGCTCATTTCCTTTTTTTGCACCTCATGAATCAAGAAATAAAGCAAAAGGAAATCAAACGTGACTGTTAGAGTGCATTCAGCTCGCCAAATACGTCTTGTTTGCCGACGATGAGCTGCTTTCTGAGGCTGACATTAGACAGACACATTAGACTCAAAAAGCTCAATCAGACCGCGAAATCAAAAAAACTTGAATCGATCGAGCTCATCAAGGAAATCCATCTCACTTCTGAGGTTTCTCGCAAATTTGGTTCGATCGGCTGTATAAAGTAATTGCAATTATGTTGAGTTGTGGGTCCAAGTTCTAACCAGGCCGAACGTTGCTTAACTTGTCAGATGAGAAGGGATAACTTTCGTATCCCGCACTGTGGCGTTACGCAGTAGTTATCAAACAGGAACAGCTTAATAATTGTAATTGTTTTTCCAGGAATTCACTGCGGGAAACGGCTTGGTTACGCCAACGTTGAAGCTGCGACGTCATCTTTTGAAACAACGATTTGAAAAGGAAATTGAGAAAATGTACAATTCAATACCAACAATGTAGTTATCGTTTTGAATTTTAAAAATCACTCTAGACTGTTTTTCTTCAAAGACGTGGAAGAGCGCCTTCCGCGCTTATACAACTCTTTCATGTCCTGTCTAAAAAGCGCACAAGTTCTGGCGTTTTTTACACGCGCAGAATATGGCGGCTCTTAGGCCGCGTTCATAGCTTGCGTTCGTGAAGAAATGCGGAAACTGCAGAAATGCCGAAACTGCAGATTCCGCACTTCTTCACTTTCGGCATTTCTGCATTTCTTCAAGTCGATAAGTATCTATTGCTTTTCTGCAGATTCCGCACTTCTGCACTTTCCGCACTTCTGCATTTTCCGCATTTCTGCATTTCTTCACGAACGCAAGCTATGAACGCGGCCTTACTGGCAGGAAGAACATGGCGGTTTTTAATAACCGTCATCCAGTGGCGGGACAAGCGCATTTGTATTTTCTGTGTCAACATGTCATGGAGATGACATCGACGATCGAAATGTGCCGCTGATTGTAAAGGATTACAACAACTGCATGCACTTCGTAGACTCTTCAGATCAGATGAGCGCGTATTACCCTTTTGTAAGAAGAACCTCGAAATGGTACGTGCGCTTTTTCTTCCACATTATGCTTCAGACAGCATTGGTTAATTCGTGGGCACTGTTTTGCAGCCGAACAGCAAAGGTGTCGTTTCTTGATTTCGAAATGTAAGGTGGCCGAAAGCTTGTTGGGGCTCGATGGATCAGAAACATCGTCGCGCAGGAATCGATGGACGAGAAGGGTGTTGGAACGGGTTGACGGACCGGCGGCTCGAATCCGGAGGAACTTGTGGCGCATGCTACAAAACAATGGCGTCGAACTGGGGCAGGGCATTAGCAAAAAAAAGGTGAAAAGGGTTAATACCCGCTGCTCCCGTTGCGAAAAGTTTTTCTGTTTAGATTGTTTTAACACTGTTCATGTTAGGTGTTGAGTTGTTATGTACACATTTGTTTTCTAGATCTCATATTCTTGAAAGTACAGGTTCATCATGTCATATTCTAGTACAGGTTCATCATATCATATTCTTGAAGGTACAGGTATATTACATCATATCTTTGGAAGTGCAGGTCATTGTTCGCTTCGAATAGTAAAGATGTCAAGAGTTATAGCATAGAAAGTCTTTTGAAACCCTCCTGCCACGCCTATCGAACGATAAGAGTGTCATTCTTGCGCCGACGCCGAAAAATAGATACTTTAGTCGTATTTAGGACGCCAAATAACCCCGGTATTCAAATTGATATCGATTTCAGTGGGATAGATTGGTAGCGCCAAGTTGGTCACTATTGACGTCAAACTGGCTCGAAAAAAAACCGATGTTGCCTTCAGGATTAGGGCATCGAATAATACCTGCAAGCGATGTTTAGGCAAAAAAAATTTCTTCGAGGTTGCGGGGTAGCAGACTTTGAATACTGCCTAGAACTTTTGTAACGAAAGATCTCTTGGTCCACTATCAGCGTAAATTGAGAAAGGTATGATGAGGTCTTCCACTGAGGGAAACTCATTTGAAGAGGTGGAACTGTTCCTAAAAATTCCATGAAAACCCGTCCGCCACATATGGTGGACATGGTCCGAAGTGGACATTTCGGTGTCCACCACCAGTGGCGGACATTGTCACGAATGGGTTAAAGAATTCTTATCGAAGAATCAACTGTGCGGATGGGGGCAAAATGTTGAAGGTGGAATTAATTAGGGACGTACAAGGTGGGTCGAAACGGGTTTTATCCAAAGCAGCTAGCATGCTGTTTCACTCTATTTCTTCCCTATAGAGTCACTTACATTCTTGCCTTCTATAGGAAAGCCATAAATCCACTATCTGTGATACCGAATGACTGCAGGCTGTGCCTTCAAATGCATTCTTAGGCAGTCAACTTTCGAATCTGTGCCTGGTGCTACTAACATGTGCACATTGAAACCATGTGGGCTCCATACTCTCTGTATATTTAACATGGAAGTAGAATTTTCTGACATGAATCATGCACTATTAATAAGTCTGATTCGTTTCTTTATGGTTGGCCCACTGGCTGAGCCAATTGGGCTCCATCACCAAAATGCACCCACGCGAGCCACTCCTGGTTTCTTACATTCTCATCTAAAGAATGAGAACTCAATTCGGAATCGTGGCAGCTTTTTGGTGCAATATGGCCCACGCGATGACTTGCTGAGGTTGGCCAGTGTGGTGCCAGTGTTTTAATACTCCCATGCTAACCTGGTATCATCGTCCCCGGACAGCAGAAGGCTTGACTGCCCCAACAAAGGAGGTTTTTCAGGTCATGGCGCGCTTTTTGGAAATGGTTTGTTGCATGTTGTAGGGGTCCATATAAGGGTCACAAAAATGGGTTTCGTTTTTGCTATGCGTTTATGGGAATGCCAAAAAATGAGTGAAAACAATTTGACAAGAAAGGGCGATTTTAACCGTCTTATTGGGCTCTGTTGTAGCTGTAACTTTGAGAGTGCATAGTTTATGAGGTGTTCCTTTACTATGTATCGAAAAGAGAGCAAAATAAAGTCAAAAAGAAAGTGCATGGAGAGAAGTAGTACCGAAGTTACTTCAACGATTTCCGCAACCAGTAAATCGTGGTCGACGGATGGCGTAGTGCGGTGGGCTCCCGGAGAAGAGGTTTGTAGATGGGACGAACTTTTTGCATTTTTCGGATTTCCGTCTTCCTTGTGTTCCTGCGTGCGTGATGATGTATATAACATGGATATATGCCATTTAAGACCTCATTCTGTACACTCAAACTTCACGAGTCGACCCTACTTAACTATTGCGCTCTCGAAACATTACTGAGGAAACTCTTGCTGAAAGTTGGGCTACGGGGATGACTGGATGCCCTACTCACGAGTACGACACTCATTTTTGACCACGGCGCAACCTATCGCCGATTTGCTGCAAGAGCATTCTTGCACTGAAATCGTTGTCAACCCGCACGCAGGGGCTGTTAAGCGCCATGCTGGCGTCAAATGGCCTCGGCGCATAAAATAAGTGTCAGAATCGTGAGCGGGGCTACCAATTACTCCTGTATACGAACTTCCAGCAAAAAAAATTTCGGAGGTTTTGGTGATAATGGACCGACCACTTGGTTGGCAGTGGCACCCGATCAGCGCACCCAGCGTAACTGGTTCCACTTTAACTTTCCAGGTGTAGATATTGTGCAATACTGTTGTCTCTTTTTAAACTTGTACGTGTTAGTTATGAGGGTATATACTGATATATTGAGGTCCAGAAAATCGAAGTTGGATAACTACTTGTACAGGATACTGATAGCCACCAGTTCAACAAGACCAACCATCATAGCTCGAACAGCTCGAGGAGAAAAATTTTGCTGAAAGCCTGTATATAGAGGTTATTAACGGCCCTGATCACGGTTCTGACCTTTATAATTGGCGCCTAGGCCATTTGGCGCCAACATGGCTCTGAATACCCCCCCCCCCAACACTGCCTGCGGGCAGGGATGCTGCGACATTTGAAAAATTAGAATGCTACTTGATTGTGGGCTAAATAAAGTACTTTTCCACCTGAACTTGTATTGTTTTCGATGCAGTGTCGACGAAGGTCTCATTTGCTATGCATACTCGACATTATAAATAGGAAAAGAGCCCAGTAAAATGGTCAGCAAACTTTCCAGCCAGTTTTTGACCGTCCCAGAAATGCATAGCAAAAACGAACCCATTTTTGTGATCCTTATATGGACCCTACAACATGCAACAAACCATTTCTGAAAAGCGCCATAATTCGAGAGACCTCCCTTGAAAGTAGGAAGTGATCAGGGATTTGACGTCTCTGAACGAATCACATGTCACCAGGGCCACAAGCACACATTAGATGCTTTCGAGAACTCTCAGGAGGGTTCGTAGTTGCACAGGTCACAAGTGAAGCAGCAGCGACGCAGTCTGGTAGATTGGTTGGTGCACTGGTGCTGTCGAATAAACAACTTAGGGGAAGCGCCTAATTAACTGTGACTTAATGAACTACGCTTCTTTCGGAAAGTCAAACTACTCCGTTTTCAACTCTTGCTCTCGCTAACACTCAGAATTCCCAAAATCTTCATAGAACACTGGCTGCGCTCAGGGCATGCCATGGCGTGTGATGAATTTCCGGTGCTAAAAAAGCCCTTACAACGGACCCTGTCCGCTGCTACTCTGATAGTAGATGAACGATGTTGTGCCAGCAATTAACTTATCTGCTAACAGATGAACGACCAACTGCTGGCAGATTCGCGCAGCGAAAGGGCAGCAGCCCTGCATTGTTCACCTGCCAACACATGGTTTGAAGTGCTGGCGCCTTCATGTGGCGTGAACCTTCCAGTAGTTGAAGAACGAAAACACCGACAAAGCTGGACGTCTGTTTAGATGAGCGACTCAAAAAAGATGCGAGGACCGTCAAGGACAAAGATTCATAAAAGAATTCGAGAACTCGGAAAAAAGGGATCATTACAAAGGATGCAGGAAATTGAGGATGGACTGCAATAAGGCCCAGTCCGAAGTTGCAGCTGGAGCACTCATTGTGCCGTGGAATTGGAGCGAGTTGCTTCGCAGTACGTAACTAGTTCTAAGCTTAGCACTCCGAAGACCCTTTGCTTGAACCTCCATAACTTTTGCCAAAGCGGAGCTACTGAAGAAATGAAAGCAGGGTTGCGGAGCACTACCTTGGTGCTTATTAAACAAGTCTTTTGAAGGCTTCTCTTTTAACGTGCATTTCTCCGTTGTGATATCATTGTGACAATTTAGGGTCATCTAATTGTAAGAGATTTTATGCTCAGCAATGGCTCCTTGATATGTGATCATTTGTAATAAAAAGATATTGTCGGACCCTAGAAAGATTTCCACATCCGAGAAAACTCTCACTTCTCTCCTAGGCCTGCTATCCGTAAGAAATTCGCGCGAATGTTTGTTGTGACATTTTCCGAGCGACACTTAAAACCCACCGCTCTGACGCAATACCGCTTTCACTTTATTTAAAGATTTTGGTATGCTTTTAGAACA